AAAGGACCTTTAAACGTCCTTTGGGAAGATGGTTTTATGAATAATTGAGCTGCATACCCTTGGAGGAAATTCTTTTATTCTTCATTTATTTATTTATTTTTTGGGGGGAACAAGGGATTGAACTCAGGCCCTTGCGCTTGCTAGGCAAGCACTTACTCCACTGAGCCATCTCCCCAGTCCTGTTTTGTTTTTTTCAGTACCAGGCATCAAACTTGGGATCTTGCACATGCCAGTCAGGCACTTATGCCACTGAACTATCTACCCAGCCCAAGAAGGATGTTGTTTTCCAAGCTGATAATGTAATGAAGTGGTTAATGTATATATCAGAGATTGGATTTATAGGATGTTGTACCTTATATATAGTAAATGCCTTTAAATATTACATGAGTAGATCGATAATGTTGTTTTCTTCCTTTTGCTATTCCAAGTCCAGTTGGCTTAATTTGAAGATAATATTTCAACACTTCAATTGTAGAAGAAAATCACAGCATTTTCTTTACAGAGAAGATAGCAAACAAACTTAGTAATTAAGAAACTAGTTCAGGAATTCTTAGAAGGTGAGTTATTCTGTAGTAACCATGCTTCGCTTGCTATGTAGTATGCCTAGAACAATCCACTTCAGCTTATGAACATTTGGTTTGGAATACTTGTCTGATGAATGTTCAGTTAAACACTTGGAGAGCTCTTGCCCGAAGTTCAGATCTCTACCCTTTATCTTGGAATGCTTCTGAAGACATTCTCTGCATTCTTTAAGCTCTACACACATGAATCTCCAATGCAATGACAGATAAGGCCAACACAGAAGGCTTTGCTTTAGTAAATATGATCCTGCAGGACATGCCTTAAGCTGAGTTTCTAGTCTTTCAAATTTTAGGCTATTTTTCCTTTCACATGGCAGCTTCTCTTGAATGAGTGAATAACAGAATTGTAGAAGTCAAAAAGCAAATAGCTTTGATTTTTCAATACACCTTGTGCAATACAGTCTTTCCCATTCTCACCAAGTCTGAAACCATAAACCTATACTGACTTATACAATCAAGTCAGTTGCCAGTGGAATGTTTCTTTCCTCCTCTGTTGATTTTATAAGCAGTTCAATCCTACACACCCAAGGTGCTTGAGGTTATGTCTATCTTGTGATGGTTATATCAACTTTTTTTTTTTTTTTTTTTTTTTTGGTATTTTAGGGAAGGGTCTACAGGGTGTTCAGGGTCTCACTGCTAGATCGGACTCCTAGTGATCTGCCTCTTACAGGCTCCCAAGAGCTGGGATTACAGGTGCATACTACCACGCCGCCCAGTCTCAATTGCCATCTCAGTGCGCCCCTGGGGCGGGGCCAGCACAGCAGGCCCGGGAATTGAACCCCTTGTCTTTGCACCTGCTTGCAGGCGCTTTAATCCACTGAGCTATTTGGCAGGCCCTAGTTATATCCACTTCACTGGGATAAGGGATACTCAAACAGCTGGTAAAACATTGTTGGTTGTGTTTGTGAGGGTGTTTCTAGAAGAGATAGCATTTAGCGCTATAGACTTAATAAAGAAGATCTCGCTTCATCAATACATGTGGGCATCACCAAATCCAGTGGGGCTCCACAGAGAGCAAAAAGAGGGAGGAAAGACACATTTGCTTTTCTTCTGGAGCTGGAGCAGGCATTTTGTCCTGCTCAGAGATATGCAAACTCCAGGTTCTCTAGCCTCTGGGACTCAAACCAGCACTCCTTCTCCTCCACCCCCATGTTTAAAGTCTCTGGATTCAGACTGAATTACATCACTTGTGCTCTCGGCTCTCAGGCTTGCAGGTGTCAGATTATAAGACTTGAGCTAATTCCCATTATAAGTCCCCCTTTATACTATCTGCTTATGTAGCTATGTATCTGTCCATCCATCCATCCTTGTGATTCTTTCTTTGGAGAAGTCTAATACAGTGCAGTCATTGGTTACTGAGTCAGCAGTTCAATATCCTAGGGTGTAGAGGACATGCCCCAGGGCAGCTGTCTATGCTCTAGGATATTGTAATGGTTGATTCATTATGTGCACTTGAGCAGTTAACGCAGCAGGGGGACAGGGTGCTCACTTTGTAAACATCCTCAGTCTATGCAAGAGGAAGACACAGAGATGACGCGAGTGCTGCACCAGCCCAGGGGCAGATGGCCTGCTCTCAATATAAGGGAGGAAAAGAGGCTTGCTCACCCTTTCTGCTCTTGTTGCTTTTCCTGTATGGTGTCACCCTGACCTGGTGCCCCTCTGCCATGCCTTGGAGATAACTGATTATGGACTGAAACCTCCGCAGCTGTGAGCTAAATAATTGCCTTCCTTAATTTGGGGGTCAGGTATTTTGTCTCAACAACAAGAAAAATAACACATTTAGGTTAGTTCATCTTTCTGGCTTTTGTGAATAATTCTGCTTTAACACTCATGTACAAGCATTTATTTGAGTATCTGTTTTTAATTCTCCTGGGTATAAATCTGCAAGTGAAATTGCTGGGGCTACAGACAGCTCAGGGGACTACAGTGCCTGCTTAGGCAGGTGCAGGGACTGGGGTTTGATCCCCAGCATGCTGTGTGGGCTCCACCCCCAGGGGGTGTTGAGAGGGCGACTAAGACTGGGCATGGTGGTGCGCACCTGTAATCCCAGTGCTTGGGAGGCTGAAAACAGGAGGATTTCTATAAGTCCGATCTATGTGTAGTGAGACCCTGTAGGCTCTGCACTAAATACATAAAATAATAATAATAATAAAGTGAAATTGCTAATCATATGATTATTATATGTTTAACTTGTTTAGGAATAGCTAAACTGTTTTCCATAGGTGGGTACTGTGGAAAAGAAAGCATTTACCTTCTTTTATTAAATGATATCTCCCCTTCCTTTATGATCTCGTTTTACATTCCTCTCAGTAATGTAGAAAGCTTTCAGGTTTTCCTTGTCCTCACTGACATTTTTTTTTTTTTATTATTATAGTCACCGTGCTGGGCGTGGTGGTGCACACCTGTACTCCCAGCACTCAGTAGACTTGGGCAGGAGGATTACTGAGAGCTCAAGGCCAGCCTTGGCTACCCAGTGAGCCTGAACTACATAGCATGACCCTGTCTCAAAAAAAAAAAAAAAAAAGTATAGACATCCTAATGAGTATAAGATGATGTCTCGGGCTGGTGAGATGGCTCAGTGGTCTAAAGCACCTACTTAGAACAAGCTCAGCAAAGTGCAGGGACCGCGGTTCAATCCCCCAGCACCACATGCCAGGCAACCCCACCTCTGGGTGGGCTGAGCTGGCCACACACACACAAAAATAAATAAATAAAAAAAAGATTAAAAAAAAAGATGATGTCTCATATGTGTCTTATACACATGTCTATATATGTAAACAGCAAGAAACACCATATATCTTGATGGTGTGGGACATCTTTTCAGGTGCTGTTGGTCATAGTTCTTTGGAGTATTGTCTATTCAAATCTCTTCATTATATTCTTCATTGCTAGACATTGTGCATTTTGTTATTAAATGTTGTTTTGCTGGTGTTTCCCTTGAAAGAATGGAGAAGTTTGTTTTGCTGGGCAGGTAAGCTGTTTTTACATAATTTTATTCCTTCCAGTGCTTGTTTTTGACACCGTTGGCCTGTGTGGAGTAGCTCTAGCTTAGCCACATCACTGAGGTGTGTCACAAGTGGTTCCCTCTTACTTGGCATTGGAAGATCTCCCCTCTCTTTGTTTTTTGGTTTTCTTTTTCTCTTCTTTATTTCTTTCTTTCTTGCTGTTGTTCTGGGGATTGAACTCAGGACCTTGTGAATGCTGGGCAAGCACTTTACCACTGAGCTACAGCTCCAGGCCTCCCCTTCCTTTGTGATCTCAAGAATTTCCTAGTGCCACCCCACCCCAGCTGTTCTTTGCTGAGCCTCATGGAAATGTGCTCTATTCTCCCTTAGTGCTCAGCGCCAGAACCAAGAGTTCCATGGGGTTTGTTTGGGCAGAGACCTCCGGCTTACCTTGCTTGTTCAGTTTACGGATAGTTGCTTCACATACTTGGCCCCTGTATTTGGTGTTTTGAGGCAAGGTCTTTTTTCCTCTTATGTATTTGGTACAGGGCCTCACTATGCAGCTCGGACTCACAGCGATCCTCCTGTTTGCAGCCTCCCCAGTGCTGAGATTACAGGAGTGCACCACCACGTCCCATTAAGACAAGGTCTTGATATATACTTCAGGCTGGTTTCAAGCTCCAGGTGATCCTCTTGCCTCTATCTCCTGAGTGCTGAGATTACAGGCATGAGCCAGGTTACCTGGTTCTATTCAAATAATTTTGACATAGGTATACACCCCAAAGCTATCGCCACAATTAATTATTTATGGCACCTTCGAAACCTTGCTTTTACCACTTGAATCTCTCCTTCCACCAGCCCTCAGGCCTCCACTGACTAGTTGTTGGTCTTTTCTAGAATGTTGTACAATAGAATCATACACAGCATTCCTCCAAAGGGAAGGCTGACTGCTTTCAGGCAGCAATAATCTTGAGATTCATCCATGGTATTATTATATCATTGGTTCACGGGTTTTTTTTTTTTTTTTTTTTTTTTTTGTTTTTGGCAGAACCCAGGATTCGTCCATGGTATTGTATATATCATTTTATTGCTAAGTAGTTTTCTATTCAATAGATATACCACAATTTGGTTATCCATCCCCTTTTCAAATGTGGGAAGCAACATATGAGTTGTTTCCAGGTTGGGGCTATATGAGTTGTTTTCAATTTGGACTGACCTTGTGCGTACCTGTCAGGAGGATTGCTGTGAGTTAAAGACTAGCCGGGGTTACATAGTAAGACCCTGCCTCAAAACAAACACCACCGCTCCCCCAAAAAAGGCTGAATTCACCAGTTGTTGATGAGGACAAGCAGGGACAGGATGCTGCTATACCGTGGACAGAAATATATAATTCAACAACCACTCCTGTCTCAGCTCCCCAGTGCTGGGATTACAGGCATGTAACACCATGCCCCGTCTCAGTGGCCAGCACGGTGCACCCCGGGTTCCAGGCCTGGCATGGCATGGGGAACTGGGGATCGAACCCAGGTCCTTGCGCTTGCCAGGCTGGCACTTAGACCGCCAGAGCTATCTCCCAAGCCCCAAGTTGAGTCTTCTTAATGGTAGCCATTCTAGAAGGCATGTGGGGGAAACCCAGTTCTCTCAGGTATACACTGCACCAGGCCACCAGCATGCACCCTGCCATGGCTTGTGCTGTGCCACATGAATCTATTCTTTCTTTCCTTTTTTTTTTTTTTTGTATGGAAATCAAACTCAGGACCTTGTGCTAGCCAGGCAGCTCTCCTTCCTTTGCTTGCAGCGCATACCAGAAATGGTTTGTGCTGAGTATACAGTGAAGTAAGGCGGAAACAGGAAGAACTAAGAAACTTAGAGCAATAGCACAGGGTAATTTTACCACTGTAGAAACTGTAGAATCCAGGGAAAATTGGAGTTTTATTTGCTTTTCTGCAGTGTTCGAATTTTTTTTAGTTACTTCTCATCACTGTGTTTAATATAATTACTGATCTGCAACAGACTTTTTTTCTGGGACTAGGGCTTGAACCCACTGAGCTACACCCCAGCCCTATTTTATTTTTTATTTGGAGAGAGACTCTTCCTAAGTCACTAAGTTGCCCAAGATGGACTCAGATTTGCCATTTTCCTGCTTTCAGCCTCCCAGAGTATTGAGATTATAGGTTAGTTTCACCACCTCCATCTGCAATAGCTTTAGACTTTTTAAACCTGGTTGATAGACCCTGAGAATCTGACTGTTTATATCAGAGTCCAAGGCTCCAACTGACCCCACGCTGCCCCTTCAAATGACATCTTACACTAACCTCTTCCATGTGTGTTACCTGGTCCCTCTGCTGTCACGTCTTTTAAGATTTCCACTTGGGTGTCTGATCAAGCATCTTAAACTTCTACTTTTCCTGTTTGTCCTTAAGGTGCTGGAGAACTTTGCACAAGCTAGGCAAGCGCTGTGCCCCTGGGCTACACACCTTGAGCCTCAGGTTTAAAATGCCCCAATCCCTGGGTCTTTACCCGCTACCTGCCCTGGTCAGCTGTGTAAATCCTAAACAGGTCATCATCGTTACGTGGAGTCTGAGAACCTTTCCTCCCCTGCTTACGATTCATCCTGCAGCCTCCAGCAGCTTGAAACTACCCTCCCCCGCCCGCCGGTCCCTCCTTTGGCCCAATCAGGTCCTGCACCCAGCCCCGCACGTGAGACCCTCCCCTCCCTGCCCTTGCAATCCCCTTCCCCCTTCAGTCCTTTGCTTCCGCTTCCTTCCAAACCAGCCACCACCCATCCAGTCCTTGGCGTTTTCCCTGTTACCTCTTCCAGCGTCCCTTCCCCAGCCTTATCTCAGCGCTTAGGCTCTTTGCCCGCGCTAGGACCTGCCTAGCCCAGAAACACGATGTAACTTCTGCTCAAAAAGCTTCAGAATCGTGGAGCGCTCCCTGCAAAAGGTGCCCCTGGTACCACGACAGAGTCCGGATGAAGCAGGACGGGGGATGGCGTGGGATGGGGTAGGCGGGGTTCGGACTGAGCGCAGCTAGAGCATGCAAAAGTGCAGGCGGCACAATCAAGGGACAGTGACTAGGGGCGGAGCTGGGGCGGCTCCGGCGCTGGGAGGTGCGGGCTACAGACCCCACCCGTGCAGGCGCAGGCGCAGGCGCAGGGAAAGTGAGCCACTGGTTCCCACGGCAACTGATTAACAAGTCCTACAGCGGTGAGCCGACAGGCCTACAAACCCGCGCCTGTCCGCAGCCATGAGTACCGCCGAGGTGGACCCGCAAGTAGCCCAGAGATACCTGCTCAAGCGGCTGCTCGGAAAGGGGGTAAGCAGGGCGTCCGGGCGGAGCAGACTAGGTCACCTGCGGGCGTGGGAGGCCTTTCTAGAGTTTGGTCCCTCCAATGTCGGCCTCTTTCCCCGATAGCGTCCTGCTTCTCCCAGGACTGGAGAGGTGGCCTTGCACCGAGCTCTTCTGTATCTCAGTGTCCCCATGGAAACTGAGTGATCCTTAGGAACCTGGCTCTGGAATAGAGGTGACTGCCAGGGCCCCGTGGTCACTGGAGGAGTTGTCCTAGTGCCCCAGGACACCTCTCCAGGTGCTTACAAGAACGCATCCACAAAGCTGCGCCGCTCCAGCCACGGGAGTGGGGCGCAGGCGGATCCCAGCCCAGCCCAGGAAGCTCTGGCGGGTACAGAAAGTGGGCTTGGAGCTGTGTGTGACTTCATGTGAGTTCATGATGCGAGTGTGAGTTTGCATGTGAAAGTATGTGGTTGGTTGTGGATGTGTTCAATGTCAACGGAGTGGAGGAAAGGAGAGGATTCTGTGTGTGTGTGTGTGTGTGTGTGTGTGTGTGTGTGTGTGTGTGTGTTTTAGGGAAGGGTCTACAGGGTGTTCAGGGTCTCACTACTAGATCGGACTCATAGTGATCTGCCTATTTACAGCCTCCCAAGAGCTAGGATTACAGGTGCCTGCCACCAGCTACCACACTCAGTCTCCATCACCCCGGGGCGGGGCCGCACGGCAAGCCCGGGATCGGGGGATCGGTAGAAGAATTCTAGACAGTTCAAATAGCAAGTCCAGAGGCCTTGGGTCAAAAAAGCCCTGCCCCGCTGTTGGATAACCCATAGAGTTGTGTGGACCTGGTAGAAGTGGGCTGGGCTGAGGAAATGGGGCGGGGTTTCTGAGAAACTAAAGAGATTCTAGCCTTTATTGTTATTAATCGCAGGAGCTGTGGCCATCATTGGTGCCGCTTTCCAGGGCCCCACCTGACTGATCTGTGGAGGAGCCACCACAGGGTGGGTGGGAGTGTCAGGGGAGATTAGTGAAGAGGGTAGGGTGGCGACCCAGCCAGAGATGCCAGTGGCCCAGACAGCAGTGGAGGTTGCATGAGCGGTAGGAAGCGGTGGAGACCATCCTGTCTCCATCTGCTGAAGGTGAGCCCTTGGGGATGCTGAAGGGCAGAGAAGGCAGCTTGGGGGTGGTCAGATTCAGGATGCTCCAGGTATACCCCTGACAGGATTTGCTATGCAAACTGGAGGGGTGTGAGAAAAAGGGGCCAAGAGTGCCTAGGTGGCTGGAGGAGCAAACACCATCCAGGGGACTGAACAGGCTTCAGGTCCTCCCAGAGGACCATAATTGTGACCTCATGTCCTCCAAGGAGCTTCCTTGGTGACCCTAGCCCCTTGCTGGTGACCATCTACTTAGCAGTTCCAGAGCTCCGGGCCTCACTGTGCTCCTGACCCCCTCAATCCAGAATGGGAAGGAGGAGCTTTTCTGCAGAGCACCTTGGGTGGGCAGGGCATGGCTGGGTAGAACACTAGCCTTCTTTCACAGGCCTATGGCATTGTGTGGAAGGCAGTGGATCGGAGGACTGGCGAGGTCGTGGCCATCAAGAAAATCTTTGATGCCTTTAGGGATAAGACAGATGCCCAGGTAAGTGAGTAGGGAAGATGTGTGGGGAAGCTTGAGTGCCTGGGAGCCCAGGTATGACTAGGAGACTCAGTCCCAGCAGGTCTCCTAGTCTTTCTGGCTGAGTGGCAATTTAGATGATAAGCATCAATGGCCTTTGCTTATTTCTGTCTCTCCCAGAGAACCTTCCGGGAAGTCACGCTGCTCCAGGTGAGTGGCCCCCAGGCCATCTTGGGTGCATCCCTTCTCCAGGTGCAGTTCTCTCCAGAACAGTGGGACTCCTGAACTTCCAGCAGCAACTTGTTCTCCTCAGGAGTTTGGAGACCATCCCAACATCATCCGCCTCCTCGATGTGATTCGGGCAGAGAACGATAGGGACATATACCTGGTATTGGAGTCTATGGGTAAGTGAGCTTCCTGCCCCACCTTTGTCCTAACTCCAGGTCCCCCCTCCTGGCCTGGTTCCCTCGGTGTGTCCTTTGATACTTGAGTCCCTGTGGTGGCTAATGCCTTCACTTTGTGCTCTATTCATGAGACCACACAGCTGGCAAGTGTTGACTTGCAGAGCCTGGCAGGAGCCACCTAGACCAGCAGTAGTGACCCTTTCAGAGCCTTCAGTGACACAAAGAGCCTGCTGCAGCAAGCCTGCCTTAGATTCACCACCACTGACCAGACCATGCCTGCACAGGGTTCCTGCTTTGGCTTTGTGTGCCGCTATATTGTCCTTGTGTACTCTTTATTAAATAAGGGCAACATGGTATAAGTAGTAGAATAATTCCACAAACTTTTTTTTTTCCACAAACTTTTATAGTTGTATGGAAAGTGAACAGGCCAGAGAACCTTGCAGGTGGCCTGGCAGGGAGTGCCCATGATGGGCTTTGAGGAGGTTGGGTTCAAAGTGGGACAGATCTGTCCATCTCCCACCCCTCGAATGACCTGTATGCCCCCTACACCCAGACACTGACCTGAATGCTGTCATCCAGAAGGGCAACCTGTTGGAAGACATCCACAAGCGCTATATCTTCTACCAGCTCCTGCAGGCCACCAAGTTCCTCCACTCGGGGAATGTTATCCATCGGGACCAGAAGGTTGGGCCCTGTACTGCGTCTGTCCCCAGCCCCCATCCCCCAACCCCCAGCATCAGTGTGCTTTCCTAACTTGCCAGCCCTCAGCATGCCTCCTCTCTCCAGCCGTCCAATGTTCTTCTGGATGCCAACTGCTCAGTGAAGCTCTGTGACTTTGGTCTGGCCCGCTCCCTGAGCAGCCTCCCAGAGGGGCCCAAGGGCCAGGTGCTAACAGAGTATGTGGCCACACGCTGGTACCGGGCTCCAGAAGTGCTCCTGTCTTCACGCTGGTAATAGCACCAACCATCCTTGTCTTCTTCCTGCAGGTCCCACCACCCTGGACGTATCCTTCTGTCCATTTGAGGGCCCCTGTATCTGACTGTGTCCACTTGCATTCTCACCTTCCCCCTCCCAGGACCCGCCCTCAGCCTCTGTGCTCCCCCTTGTTCACACATCTTTCTGTCCCAGGTATACCCCCGGAGTGGACATGTGGAGTCTTGGCTGCATCTTGGGAGAGATGCTGCGAGGGCAGCCACTGTTCCCAGGCTCATCATCGCTGCACCAGCTACAGCTGATCCTGGAGACCATCCCGTCTCCATCTGCTGAAGGTGAGCCCTTGGGGATGCTGAAAGGCAGAGAAGGCAGCTTGGGGGTGGGAAAGCCAGGATGTCACAGGGGAAGGTGAGGATGGGCAGAGGCAGGAGCTTGGGGAGGCCTGGGGAGTGGGTTCTGTGGATGGAGGTCTGCACAGGGAATTTGAGAGAGGCAGTGGGGACCATGACAGCCAAGCTGTGACAAGAAGGAGCCAGCTAGGTTAGGGCAAAGCTCCAGCCCCACTGAGGGATGTGGGGAGCCAGGGTATGGAATGTCACTGTGCTGGAAGCTCAAGCAATACTGAGCCAGGCACTAGGGCACTGAACAAAGAGGTAAGGGAGGAGAAGGCAAGGGGTGACACTTAGAGGACCCAGTGGTGTCCTGTTCTGTCCCCCAAGTCCCTGCTCTCCCTGGCAGAGACAGCAAGGGATTGATCCAGGAGGCCAGTGCCAACATCTTCATGAGACCAGGTTGAGGGTGTACAGGTGCAGGAGCCGAAGCTACTGTGGAGGCCCCAGAGATTGCTGGCCCCAGACCTTCCTGAGTGGCCCCCTGCCCCAGGCAGGCCTGGTCATACCTCCTCTTGCCACCCTCCTCCCAGACCTCCTGGCTCTTGGCTCAGGCTACAGTGACTTGATTCTGCACCACCTGGGGTCTAGGTGAGTGGGGCACTTAGGTTTGGGGGCCTGACTCCTGAGCGTGCTGTAGTCATGCTACAAATGAGACTCTAGCCTTAGCATGGGTCTTCCAGTTGGGTAGGGGCCATGGGAAAGTCCCCAAAGCCAGAGGTGGGGGCCAGAAGGGCAGGAGGAACTTCCCAAGGTAGAGGAGGTAGGTCAGAAAGTTGAGACAGGGTCTATCCACATTGCCTGCATGTCTGGTTTGGGGATCCACTGAGATAGGAAAAGGGGATAGGCAGAGGATTGGAAGCCCAGCCCAGGCCACAGACAGATTTGGGGAGGGGGCATGGCTGGGGGCTTGCAAAGGAGATGACAAGAGGCTGCTTCTGCAGGCCACGACAGACACTGGATACCCTACTGCCACCGGGTACTCCCACAGAGGCTGTGGATCTCCTCAGGCGACTCCTGGTGTTTGCTCCCAACAAGCGGCTTAGCGCAGCCCAGGCACTGAAGCATCCCTATGTGCAGAGGTGGGGCTGTGGTAAGGGCAGGCTCAAAAAGCAAGGTGGGCTGGGAGGCCAGAGGGACCACTCTTCCATTCTACACCTGCCTCCGGCCCTGCAGGTTCCACAGCCCTGACCAAGAATGGACACGGGGTTCAGATATGCAGCTCCCAGGGCTGGAAGGAGACCAGCTATCTGCCTCGGAATACCGAAGCTGCCTCTACAAGGTCTTTCTTTCTTTCTTTCTTTCTTTCTTTCTTTCTTTCTTTCTTTCTTTCTTTCTTTCTCTTTCTTTCTTTCTTCCTCCTTCTTCCTCCTTCTTCCTCCTTCTTCCTCCTTCTTTCTTCTTCTTTACCTTTCCCCTCATCTGACTTCTTCATGCACCCTGGAGGTTTCCTCCTCCCTTATCCACCTCAACTCCCCTTTCCACCTGCAGATAATCTTGGAGAGGAAGAGCAGCAACCATGGCCCAAGAAAGGAAGGCCTGGGGGGCATCATCTCAGGCACAGAGTCCCGGGGCCACCTGCTCAAGCCCAAAGTCAGACCCCAGCTCCCTATTGGGGGACCTTCCCAGAACCCAGGACCCAGGCCACAGAATCTCCTGGGTCAGGACCCAGCACATGGTGTGTGAGCTTTGGTCGTTCCCACTCGGGTCACACACCTAGCCCTTTCTGTCTAGGGTCACCGACCTTTCCAGATCGGACCTTATCCAGTGTTGTTACAGGTGTGCCTGTCCTAGAAGCCCCCAGCAGAGATTGGAACATCCCAAGGCAGGGCTCAGCCTCCTCGCTCCAACCTCAGGCCCCAAGCAGGACGGACAGGGTCATGGGGTTGGCCACGGAGCCTCCCAGGGAACCCTCTGGGGTGAGTCGAGGGAGGCCAGGGATGGGAGGAGAGCCCTTCACCCTGCTGTACCTTTCAGCGACCCTGTTTTTATGCCCTTCCCAGGTGAAGTCAAGTGTGAGAAGCAAGGAGCCCTCTCTGACTATGCAGGCTGCCACCCAGGTGGCCAACCAGGCCCTGATTCGAGGCAACCTGGCCCAGGCCGTGCTCCAGGTGAGCCTGGCCCCCAGTGCCCATCCATGTCCCTCAGGGCCCTCTTTCCCTCCACTTATCCATGCTGACAATGATCCTCACTGATGCACAGGTCCCTCCCAGGGTTCCCCAGGAAGCCCCAGAACCCCAACCTGGCCGGAGGATGTTCAGCACCTCAGCTTCCTGGGGTGCCCAGGGTAATGCCCGGGCTGCGCTTGGGGGCTACTCCCAGGCCTATGGGACTGTGTACCACTCAGCACTGGGCCGCCTGCCCCTGCTCCCTGGACCCCACGGGTGAGCTGCCTGCCATCTCACACTTTCTGTTTTGACCTCCTCAGAAGAGCACAAGAAGCTCCCATCCTGGCCCCAGTGACTTGTAAAATAAAATCTTTGTCCCAGCCCAACTATCTGCTTTCACCTACTCCCTTTTGAAGGATTCCTTTCTGCAGGGCTTCCTTCCTAAACCATGGTATCCCCTAGCCTGAGGGCCCTTGTCCCTTTCCCAGAGCCTACATTTTCTGAGAACCTGCCACCCCCATCCTGCAGGTCCTCTGCCACGTCTAGGACCATAGCACAGCACAAAGCTGCAGGGGTCTGATCTGCTATCACCCATGCTTTTTCCTAGGACTAGCCTCCTGGCACTTCGGGCTACCTTCCTATCCTTTGTCCAGAAATGCCTTAGCGCCTGCCTTGTTTCTGAGCACCATCAGATATCCCAGGCGGGGGCTGCTGCAGGGTCCAGGGTCCAGCTGTTCTGGATAGTCCTGTGGCACAGCAACTTGTGAACAGACAGACACATTACCTGCCTACGTGCAAGTCACCATGTGACTATGAACCAGAGAGGGAAAGGGGAGTGAGAAGGGGAAGGCCCCCCAAAGCAACACTTGCTCCTCCCCCATTGTCACTGCGCCCACAACACCGTGACTGGCTCCTGGTTTGTCCAGGTATTGGTGGTAGGAGGGTGAGGGACACTCTGGAGATGTCTTGAGACTGAAGGCTGTTTTCTCTGCTTACTGTCAGGTCCGTGGCCTGCTGTGAGCTCAGGCCAGGGGTGTGGGGGAACAGAGACCCAGGGGTACCATGGGTGCTCTGTACTATACCTAACCCTCAGCTGTGGCAGAATATAGGGGTGTCACTACCCCACTGCCAGGAACTCACAGTCAAAAGCCCCTGTTCACCTTGGGGTGTGACAGAAAGGCTGAGGTGTAGAGGGAGGCTGGGAGGTTGCTCTGCAGATGCTGGCCAGAAAGAGGTGGATGGGGCTGGTTTTAACAGGGGCCACAGAGGCAGCTGGGCTGCTCACTAGGAGGGGGCTGCTGAGGAGTCAGTTTGTTTCCAGAGCCTGACGCACAGCCCCAAGGCAGTGAGCAAGCAGGACAGATGCGGGTGTGGGAGTTAATGACGTAGTTGGGTGGGTCTTTGAGGCCAGAAATTGGCACTAGGGCGGGAAGGACGCAGGAGCTGCAAGGCGAGGCTGAGACTACTGGGTTCAGTGGCCAGGGGACCCTGGGTGAATGCCCTCAGAGCACCCCCACAGAGAGGCTCAGAAGTGAAGCAGGGAGGGCCTAGAAGAGGGAAGTCTGCGTGAGTTTGGATGCATCTGGAGGGATGTGGAGGCAGGGTCTTGAGTGCGCTAAGATTCATGGCTGTTGCAAAAGGGAAATCAGGTTCAACCCAAAGTTCAAGATTGCAATATATAATTGGGTGAAAATATATGTGTGGGAATATTTTGTGCAGTGTTTATTTTCAATGTCAGAATTTTCAGTGTCATTTTTAGGTATCTTATTCAGCAGGACATGAACAGTACAGTCAGGAGGCCTGCCTGAGCTGCGCTGTCAGCCTCCGGCTCTTCATGGGAGAATGTTTCCCCTCCTGCAAGGGTTTTCCCTCAGTGGGCCTGGAACCTGTAAGCTCTGATGCCACATCACACCAATACGAGCTTGTTAGCAAGCACTGGGCCAAGAAATGAATTGCTGCTGATAAAACTATTTGAGCTGGGGCTGGTGAGATGGCTCAGTGGTCTAAAGCACCTACTTAGAACAAGCTTAGCAAAGCACTGGGATGGCGGTTCAATCCCCCAGCACCACATGCCAGCCAGCCCCGCCCCCTGGTGGGCTGAGCTGGCCACATGCACACACACATAAATAAATAAAAATAAATAAATTTCAAAAAAAAAACTATTTGAGCTAAGTATGATGTGAACAGCTATAATCCCAGCTACTTGGAAGACTGAGGCAGGTGGTTGAAGGAGTTTCACATCAGCCTGAGCAACTGTTAATGGTTTAAGCCTCACGTAGTCATAGGGTGGACTTCTAGAGTTTGTGATTAACTCATGATCCACTTGGATTATGGGTGATCCAAGGCTGAGATTATGGGTGTGAGTACTGCTGGGATTATGGGTGTGAGTGCTACACTCAGCCTGAGGCAGACAGCCTGAATATAACATAAGAGACAGACTTGCTCTCTTTTGCCATTGTTGCTGCTACTCTTCCCTTGCTCTCTGCTCTTTGTCACCACCATAAAAGGTTGTTCTGTGCCCTGTGCCATTCTGCCCTGGAGCCAGCTGAGTATGGACTGAAACCTCCAGTAACTGTGAGCTAAATAATCCTTTCCTTCCTTCATTTTGAATGTCAGGTATTTGTCCCAGCAATGAAAGAAGAGTAACTGAGATAGCAATTTAGTAAGACCCTGTGTGAGAATAATTAAAAATGGCCTCTTGGTGGGGTGTGGTTTGGGTTAGTGGGGGATACTTAATGAGGCTGGGACCGAGGATGTCTGTCCAGATGTTTTATTGTGCTACAAAACCCAGTGTTCCCTCCTGTCATCCAGGGCTGTGTGTAGGAGGGGGCAGGCTTGGTGGAGGCAGCTGCTGTTGGGTGGCAGGCAGCTCCTCTCTGGGATCCCCTGTGTCCCTCCTTCCAAGAAGTCTGCCCTGTCCAGTTTTCCTGTCACTCCAACAACATCCTTTGGGGTCTGACCCCCACCCCTCCCTCACAAGTGCCTGCAGCCAGTCCTGCCTTCCCCACAGCAAGGCAGGTGCCAGGATGCCACAAGGAGATGGGGTCCAAGCAGGGAAGAAAGCAAGTCCTCGAGGAGACAGAGGTGAGAGAAGAGGGGAGTAGGAAGAGGGGAAGTGTGATGGGAAATGGGGCTGTCAGTAGAGAGGAGCCACCGGATGGATCCAGGAGACTTTCAGGCGATAGATACCCTGAGAAGAGAAACCCTGAGGAGACAAAGGGCATGGAGTGAGATCACCAAACTGAACCACAAGTGATGGCGACCCCCTGAAAGACAGAGGACTAAGGCACACAGAAGGATCCCTGAGATGAATAAAGGTCTGAAGGGGGTCTTAGGCCAAAGAGAGGTGGAGGGAATGCTGAGAAGGGTCCCCAGGAAGGAAGGGAACTGTAGGGGACAGGGGCTGTGCCCCTAGGGAGGAGAGGCCAAAGATCAGACCCCCAGACTGCTTTGGCATGATGGTCTGGCACCTGTCACTCAGACACAGGGACATGGAGCTCCCTGCCCGCTGGGTGCTCCAGGTGCAGGTTGGCAGCGTACAGTGTAGCACCCTAGTCTGCAGGGCCAGGACACTCACTTCTTGCCTTTGAATGTGCCTAGGATCTTGGGCATGAACTTCCCCACCTTGCTGTCCCGGGTGTCCTCCTCCACCAAATTGTCCCCTGCCCCTGGGCTGCTGGCCTCATCCTTTTTGCAGAAGACCTCAAAGCGACTGTAGACACGCTTCTCCTTGCGCATGCTCTCCATGCGGCGCAGCAGTCGGTCACGCTCCTCTGCGCTGGCAGGCAGTGTGCGGCTCAGCCGGCCTTGTGTCCCCAGATTGTCTGAGCGGAAGATGGCTGAGCACTTGTCCTTGTCAGACATATCTGGGGCCAGGCCTCCAGCAGCAGGAGGGTGTCCCTGCTCACTGCTGCTGTGGGTTGGGTCTGGGCCTGGGGCAGGAACCCCACGGTGCTTCTGGCCATGGGCACTGATCTGCTCCAGAATGGCCTTGGTGTCATCCCGCAGGTTACTACTGTACAAGGCATTGGCTGTGGCTGAGGCTACACGCCCCCTGGGCCCACGCTCATCTCCTGCAGCCTCTGTGCTGTCACTTCGTCCCAGAGATGGTCGCTGGGGACTCTCAGGCTGCCCATTCTCCTGTAGTGCTGGGAAACTGCCCTCACCCTCCCCTCGCCGTTCACTCTTGGGGCTCAGCAGCTGTCTCAGGCGCAGGGAGCCCTTGCGCAGCACCTCCATAGGGCCGCCGGCCACCTCCTCTGTGGGCGTGGTCTTTGAAGACTCTGCTGGTAGGGCCAGGGTAAGACTGCCCCTGCGCTCAGGTACAGGGGGCCCTGGGCTGCTCCTGCGTTCTGGAACTGGTGGCACAGGGTTGCCCCTGTGCTCTGGATAGGATGTGGGGTTCCCCTTCTGTTCAGCAAATCCTGTAGTTGGGCTGCCTCTTCGATTGGGAAACCCAGGCGTAGGGCTCCCCTTTCGCTCTGGGTAGGTTAAAGTTGGGCTCCCTCTTGGCTCAGAATGAAGCACCTGGTGGGCTCCAGGCCCGTCTGGTGGGGGGCTGTCTCGCCCTTGCGGGGAGGTGGAGCGGCCCTGTGCAGAAAGGAAGCGAGAGGGCAGGCGGTCTGTGCCACTCCGACCCAGTGTGTCGAGGAGCTGTGCGGCTGTGAGCGAGGCGACTCCAGGCTGCCGCTCTGCCTCCTGGTGCAGCTGCTGAGCGAAAGAGTCGCGCAGGTCGAGCAGGCAGCTCTCCAGGCTGCGGCGCTCGGACCCCCCTGTGCCTGGTGCAGCCACCTCTTCCCGCAAGGTCTGGGACACCACAGCTTTGCTGTGGCTGGAGACAGTGACAGCGCCCCCAGTGTCACGCGCTGGCCCCTTATATTTCTCTAGTAGTTCAGCTACTTTGGCCGAGGCGGTGGAGCGCACAGCCTCTCCACCGGGACCTAGTGTCTCACTGACAGTCTGCTCCTTGTGCAGCAGCTGCACCTTCTCAGTGGTGGCCCCAGCAACCCCGCCCGTGCCCTCTGCCTGTGCCTGAGATGCAAAAATGAGCGAGGACCGGAGCCTTGAGCTGCGCTGGATGAGGGGATTCAGGCGAGAGCGGAAGGAGTCCTGCTTGGCCAGGCCAGCCTCCTCCACCCCCTCGCGCTCTGCACCATCTCCGCTTCCGGAGCCCGACACAGGGCCCTTGGCGAGGAAGGCAGTAGGGGCCCGGAAGGATGAGGGGAGCAGCTCTCCCGCGGCTGCTCGGCCCGTAGGAGCCAGCACGTCGTCCTCATAGACCTCAGCTTCCATAGGCATGGGGAGGCCCTCCTCACCTGTGTCTTCGCCATGGCAGCCGCTCAGGTAGGAGGCAAGGCGCCAGTGCCGCAACCCTGCGCGCCCCTCGGCTCCCCCCTTCCTCTCGGGCTCTGTCTCCATGGCGGGGTCCGGGCCCTGCCTCACCACTGCCTGGCAGGGGAACCGCTGGCTCAGGTTTGGACGCAGAGCACCGCCAGGTTCGAGGCCCCGCTGGCCTGGCCCGAAGGCAGGGTCTGAGCCATGGCGCACCTCACGAGATGCGCTGGATGGCACATATTCCAGCCGCTGGTGCCCGTCAGGGCCGAGCTCTGGGAACCGCGGTCCTGCACCCAATGTGAAGTCATCGTGGTCAGCGAAACCTTGGCGGCCGGCGCGGATCTTCTCAAATAGGCCTTGTGGCCGTGAGGGATTGAGCTGCGGGTCCCACTGGTAGTGCTGCTGGTAGAGCTGGTCGCGGTGGAAGTGACTGGTGTGGAAGCGAAAATCATCACCATGGCTGAGGAATGTCTGACGGGAAACCTGGCGCGCGGCTGCAAAGTTCTCCACGGCAGCTGTGCCATCGGCTGCTGCGTAGCTGTGCCGCTTGAAGGCATCCATCTCTAGGTGCCGCGACTGGAAGAAGCCCCGCGTGCCCGCAAGCTCTCCGCTGGGGCCGGCCTCGGGGTCCAACCTCCGGGACAATGGCCGCAGTCCAGTGTGTGGCTCCAGGATACCGCCTGGCCCCCGAGGCATCTCCTCCCGGCGGAAGGCAGACAGAAAGTGGCGGTCAGGGTCCAGGAAGGAGGGGAAACCCAGGCCTTCGTCCCGGGGTGGTTGGAATAGGAGGTGCGCCCGCTTAGGGAATGAAAAGGGAGTTGGTGCCCCAACACCAGGAACACCCATCAGGGGCCCAGCTCCTGAGTACGGAGCCAGCGGCCCAGCGCCTGAATAAGGAGCCAGGGCGTAGGCGTCCATGCGGGCCAGTGCCTCTGCTGAGGGCACCAATGGCTCAGACTGTGCAAAGAGAATGCGGAACTCCTCATCGAAACTGGAGACCAGCTCTCCCTGGAACACGTGCGCCAGGCTGCGGTGGATCTTCTCGAAGGACCACATGAAGCTGCGGGGGGGTAGGGGCTAGAGTCAAGGTAAAGTAGGGGCCTGAAGCCCAGGTGGGACAGGCAGGACCCCAGATCTGTAAGGACCTGGCCCCATGGGCTGTGTTGGGGGCTACAGGGAGAGGACCTCTGGAGGGATGACCTCATGGGGAGGGACTGGGACTGTGGGACACCCAGCTGGGCACACCTGTAGCTCCCACTCATCACCACGGCACAGTCGACCAGCAGAAACTTCTCCTTCACGTGGCCTTTGAAAGATTTCCCGGTGCGACAGTAGTAGGTCGGGCCCGCCACAGTTCGGACACGCAGGAACTGGGGAGGGAGGGGAGTCAGGTCTTTGCTTTGCTCGGGCCCTTTCCCCTCTTCCCACTGGGTGGGGGTGTTACTCACATCCACATGGTGTAGGTTGACACGGCACTTGTCAGCCATGTCCAGAAAGTGCTGTGCATTCATCTCATCTAGCAGGATGTAGACTGGGACACGGCGTGCAGCAGCCTCCAGCACTTCACTGAGCAGGTCCACGTCAGTAAACATATCCATTACCACAGCCACCACCTGGGGGCATTGATAGGGGAGAGGGCAGATTCTTGCTGTCCCTATCACATTATCCACCCTTATCCCTACAGATCACTAGCCAACACCATATAACATGGTCACTAGCCCACCCCAGGGAAGAGCAGCCATGTCTGGGGAAGTGGGTCAGAGAGATGTGGCCTGGCAGGGAACATGCAGGGCTGCTGGTCAGTCAAGGTGGTGGGCTTCGAATGCCTGCAATCCCAGCATTTGGCAGACTAAGGCAGGAGGATCCCTGGGAGTCTCAGAAACAAAACAATGCCAGGCACAGTGGGGAATGCCTATAATCACAGAACTTGAGAGGCTGAGGCAAGAGGATTGCTGCAAATTTGAGGCCAGCCTTGGCTACAAAGTGAGTTCAAGGCCAGTCTGGACTGTTCAGTGAAGCCTTATTTCAAAGACAACAACAAGAGCTGGGGAGATAGCTCAGCGGCCTAAGTACCTGCCTGGCAAGTGCAAGTTCCTAAGTTCGAGCCCCAGTACCAAAAAACAAAAGAAAACAAAACAACAGCAATAAAGTCAACAACAACAACAACAACAAAATGCCCAAATACCCCAGGTTCGTGGCCTATAAAGAGCCCTATGCAGGCATGGGGTCTATATTCTGTTAGGGGGCTGTCTCTTACCAGGTGGAATAAGCCAAGGTGAACCCCTGTGATCCCCCTGCCCTATAGGTGACTGAGCTGCCTGGACCCAGGCTCCAGTTTTGTCCTGAGAAGGGCTTCCTGCCTAGGGCAGGGTGCAGAGAAAGGGTCTTTAGCACCTGTAGCTTCAGTCTCATTGGTTTAACAGGCTGCCTCTGCAGTTTGTCACTTGCTGGGGGATACAGCAGGACTAGAAAGAATTCTCCCAACAACAAATGCAGGCTAGGAGAACTCAACATCCCACAGCCCCTTAGTTTCTGGGCACTGGCCATGACCATGGGTAAGCACACCTGAGCAGGGACCACAGCCCACACTAAGCCCCTTGACACTGGAATTTTCCAAGGAGCCCCTGTTGTAGCTTGAGCCCTCAGGGTCCTGCCTGAACCCAAGAAAGGCCTGGTCAGGCCTGCTTGCAACCCTCCTACTTCTCCTACCAGTTGCAGCTCTCTCCCACCGCCCACCAGGCCTAGGACAGTCAGTTACCTGCTGGGCAGAGCGGATCATCCTGCGGGCCTCATCCTTGATGCTGGGACTGTCAGGTGGTGGTGGCTGCACAAGTGTGGTGACCTCAGTCCCCTGGAAGCCGAAGGTCAGGGGCCAGCCCAGATCAAGCTCAGGCACAGCCTGGTCTGAGTTCAGTGGCCAGTAGGTGCCAGAGGAGCCATCCATGTCCACATCAGGAGGGCTGCCTTCAGGGGGCTCACGGGCAACACACTGTGGGGGCTGTACATGGCGGCTCACATGTTCTAGTTCCTCAGGGCACAGGAAGTCGGGAGCCCCCTCAGATGCCAGGAAACGGCTATAGGCCTCTGGGCCACCCTCCATCAGTGCATCAACTGCCAGGCGGTAGTATTCTTTGTAGTGTGGTGGCAGGTACCCAGGTGCCAGCGGATTGTCCCCCTGCGAGGAACTCTGGGAGCGGCGAGCCATGTTGTGGGTGGGGATCTGGGAAAGGGAGCAGGGAGACATTAAATAGGGGCAGAGACACCTGGGCCTTCCCCCCTCCCCATACATGGCTTTATACTGTGGAAGGGGTGTCAGAGACTCTGGGCTGGACTTCAGCCCAGGCCTGGGGGCATCTGCAGTGCTTGGTAGGTCACAGGGAACCCAGTCTGGTCCCTTTTCCTCTGGCCTCACTGGCTGGAACCCCAGTCACCCAGTCCCAGAGACTGCCTGAATCCCCAGCTTCCAGGTGAGGCCTCTGATCTACTCCACCCCTCATTCAGGGTTGCTTTATGATTCTCATGGCCTCAGACATGTTTGTGCTTTGTGGGTTCCCTTTCTCTATAAAAAGATTTTAAATATTTTGAGTGTTAGTTCAAAGACAAATATAATTCAGGCTGGACTCTATGTTGTTTCTTTTAAGACATTAGCCTTTCTGTAGGTCCCGGATGTGCCACCTGGAGAAGTTGGTGCTGTTCCCTCTGCCTAGGAGACCCAGGGCAGGTCAGTGTGCCTCGCTGGTGTGTAACCTATGCTGTACAACACAGCTGGGAAGACTGACAAGAAGACATCACACCTGTCCCCAGGTGAGCACAAGAGCACCTACTGCACTCTGGGATCACAGCCTTAGTCCCACCCACTGCCCCTGACACACTTCCTCCCCATGCTCAGGGCTTAGCTTTCCACCCCACAACCCCTCACCTCTCAGCCTTCTGACCTCTAGTTTTTGTGCCAGGCCACCACCTTTCTTTTGGCATCAGCCTTAGATAACACTCTCCTGGGTCACAGCTCCTTGGTGTCAGGCCTCCCCTGAAGAACCTGGCTCCCCAATTATTCAGTCCTGTCCCTGCCAGGCCTAGCCCTGTGGCAGGAGCCTTTCCAAGTCCCTAGAGTTGCTGTCCCCCTCCCCCCACACACTGCACTCAAGTCAAAGCCTTTGCGGAGACAGTGGGCCATCAGCTTCCCCACCATCACATTCATGCCCCTCTCCAGTGGGCCTCCACGGAGGCTAGCTGCTTAGAAAGCCATCAGATATGATCACTGGGTACCTGGGCACCTCATGGCTTCTGGCCCTGGCCTGCTCCCATAGACTGTTCAGCCCATTCTTACTGTACCTCAGGTTTCGGAAAAGGCAAGATTCCTGTTCTGCCTAGCACAGATTCCCACATGTTGGCCCTGGCCGGGGAACTGGTTCCGCCCAGAAAAAGGTGTGCCCCAGGTGAGGCTGGGTGATGCTGACAAGATGGGGGGTGCTGGCGACCTAGACTGCATTGAGATTGGAAAGAGACACTTGCCTGTAAATGCTGGGGCTTAGGACCCTTCTGGATACAGCCCAGGAAGCTGTGCTGCCTGGTGCCCCTCAGATGACACACTAACTGCATGTAGAATGTGACAAGAAGCTGGGAAGTGGGGCACTCTCCCCTGCAACCACTCCCTCATCAGCCCCAGATGCTGTTGTCTGTTCGCTGGCCCTGACTTCCTTTGTAGGGCACTGCCCTGACTTAAGGACACTCTCCTTTGCACTGGGCATGTGAGCTAGAGGCTGCTGACCTGGCAGTAGTAGAAGCAGGTCCCATAGCCCACCTGGAGTAAACTCTGGCCTGTGAACCTGGACAGGTCCCAGCGCCACAGGGTCAGCCACTGACCACAGTTAGGTCTGCTGTTTAGGGGCAACATCTGCCATACAGGTCTATACTATCCTGCTATTTGAGAGGTACTTCCAGCATGAGGAAGATACTGGAAGAGACAATGCTGGCCCTTCAATTTCTCTGGGGAGGGGAGTCCATACTGTGTAGGCTGTGGGTAACCAGGCGTGGAACTGTCCAGCATGTGGACCTCCTTGAGGAGTCCCACAGATACTGCTGGTTAGGACGAGGTCCTAGTCCTGAGTGGCCACCACAGGCAACCTGGCCTCACAGCAGTACCTACCACCTCCAGCCACCCTACCCCTCGCCTGCTTCCTTTAAAGGGCACACACCCCCTGGACTATGGACAAGGCAGTGGCCACTCCTCAGTCGGCAATGAAGAACCTCAACAGCCTACTTCCCCACATTTGCCTACCTGACTCAGCTGGAGGGAAGCAGGGGCCTATCCCCCCAAGACCAGTGACTCACAGGAGTCCTTTGCTGCTGACCTCTGACCTAAAGCCAGATAGTCTCCAGGGCCTGCCCCTCCATTTCTAGAATCTGATCCTACCCAGGCAGGAAGTGGGGTTCCTGTATCCAAAAGGCGGACCCCGTGAGAAAGCTCTGGGATTTCTATACAATGCAGGGCGATCCTGGCCAAGTACTGAGCATGATATGATAATAATAAGGAAGGTGGTATCCAGTTGGATGGGGCTCACAGACCGGAAGTCAATTAGTTATAGCTTGAGGGGTGCGGCAGGCCCCACTGTTAGCGCACCCTAGGAAGTTAGCGGCTGCCAGGCAGGACAGGCGTCCCATCTGCCCAGCCCAGCCCAGGAACAAGGGATCAAAAGGCCAGGCCTCTGCCCTTCCACGAAGGATCCAGGTGTTGGACTGTCCACCCCAGTCCGATGGCCTTGGAGGGGTGTCCCTAGGGAAGGATCCGGCCGTGCTGAGCACTCTCCCCAGGGTCTAGGTAGGCCGCACCGAGAGGAGCAAGTCACGACTGGGCAGGCTCTACTCTAGCCCCAGGCCATTTTACCTTTGGCTCCTTTTCGGCAGACGTCGCGCGCAGGTGGGGGTCCCCCTCACCTCCCACGGGGCTCGAGCCCTGCAGACCCGGCCCGACGCTCGCGGCCACACAAACTGCTTCGCCCGGCTCCCGATCGTGAACCCCAGCCCCGGTGAGGTCGCGCAGGGGCCCCGGCCTCCCCTCTGGAGCCCGCGCCCAGCCCCGTCTGGGCCCGGGAGGGGGCCCTACCTGGCCAGGTGCGCGGGGTCTCGGCACAGGGGCAGCAGGAGCCGACCGCCGCCCAGCGGCCTCGCGGTCCGGTCAGTCCGGCAGCCACTCCCCGGCTTGGCCCGCCCGCCCGGCCTGATTCACGCGCCCGCCCCCGCCCCCGCCCCGCCCGCTCTGTCTCCTGCCTGCCCGGGCAGCACCTGGGCGGGGCGCCCCGCCCGCGCCGCGCCCGCATTCCTGTGCCCGCCTGGCGGGACCCCGGCCCAAGTCCCGGTGCCCCCGACCCCCGGACGCGCCCCACTTCATCAGTGCTCTGGGCCCGCGTCCCGAACTCTGACCCGCGCCGCCCAAGACCACCAGGGCTCTACTTCAAGGGCTCAGAATTCCCTAACACTATCAGTGTGAACCGAAGGCTCGAAGCCCCTAAGCCTGACCCTTGACCCTCGCCCCGGAAGTCAGGGTGACTAGGAAGTTCCGGCTGGGTCCCTAGGCGACCGGCTGGCCCGACGTGGGGGGCGGGGCTTCCCTCCTGGGCAGGTGAGGCAGGCAGGTGAGGCTGCCAGGGCGGTGCCAAGCCCGGGACGGGGCTGGGCCTGGGGACCCAGCACACACGGCACCGCCTCAACACGCGCGGACACGCCTCACTCCCCAGCTTTCTTCCACCAGTCACCCCACTCTCACCCACTCCATGTATTTGGGAGCGCGAAGGTTCACCTTGGAGTCCCCATAGACCCTCTTATGCCTGCATACCCAGACACGTAGGGGACCCTACACACAAGGGAACCTGGGGTAATATAACACTATTCATCCTAACCCCACAAGCAGGAAACCCCATTCACACAGAGTCCTACAAGTACACCAAGTCCCACACATGCCTCTACTCAGCATGACCACCCACCATGCCTTATCCACACAAATAAAGGACCCCACATATAAAGAGGGGTCTTCATGCCCATTGTCCCCTCATGCATGAACATGTGCTCTAAAAGCACGGAAACTACCCTTGAATGTTGGGACCCCACATGTATTCCTAGAGTCCCTTTCACAGATGAGGGGAACCAGAACTGCATCGGGGAAGTGACAGACATCCCTCTCTGGGTCCAAGCCAAGAGCAGCTGCTGGTGAGTTGTACCTGTGCACACTAATCTCACACGCAGAATCCTCATTCACACATCAGCTACACACACACACCACCCTAAGTTTGAAACGCAAGCCCTAGTTGTTCCTGGCTGCCCCAGTCTACCTACTTTCCCCTCAGGCAACCCCTTCTCTTTAGGCCCTGCTCTGTGATCAGCCATCCCACCACTCTCCCCAGTCAGCTCCTCTTGCCTGCCACTCCTACACCAATCACTCGCTCCCTGCCACCCTGCCTGAGTCCTTTCTGCCAGCCAGCCTTAATTCACCTCCTGTTCCTTGTCCCTCTCAACCAATTTTGTCCTAATTCCAGGGTTATCCCCCATTTCATTAAGTTGCTCCCCACCCAGCAACACCCCACAGGTGTGGGGTCAGACCAGCTCGGGCGCAATTACATAGCCTAGGCTTCCTGTGCAGTGGGGGAGGTGGGGAGCTTTGGGGCAACAGTGAGGACCCTTACCCTACCTAGAGCAGGTAGGGGAGGCCTCTTGGGAAATGAACTTGGGTGAGTCTGGTGGACTAGGGAGAAGGATGTTGCTTCCAGGCTCTGAGCACAGCACCTGTCAAGGCCAGGATGCGAGGGTCTGTGGGTGGAGAGGGGTTAGGCTCCAGGGTATCCTGCGAGGCGTAAAGACTGCACAGGTCTGCTCAGACAAGGACACCAGAGCCCAGTTGTCCAGCTGGTGGCCTGGTGTTTTGAGTAGGAAGATGGGTGCTGAACAGTAGACTATGGCACCCTAAAGGACAAGCTAATCAAGGGGTGGAGGGGGCAGGCATGTGAGGGTGAAGGGACATGGTCTTGTCATACATTCCTGCTGAAGTTGCTGGGGCAGATGGGTGGAGGCTAGGGGGTGTCTAGGGGAGTCTGAGTTCTTATTGTCTACAAGCTCATGGAGGTGGACAGTGGCTTTCCCCACCGCCCCTGCCCTCTTCCAGGGGCATGAACACTAAGATGAAGGGAACCAGAGCTGCATCAGGGAAGTGGCAGACATCCCTCTCTGGGTCCAAACCAAGAGCTGCTGCTGGTGAGTTGTACCCTGATCTTCAGAGCATTACTACCCGAACGCTGACCCGTGAGACCCTCTGCAGCTACCCAGGACCCACCATCTGAGAGTGGCCATTCCCCCCAAGGAACGGTCTTCAGGGGACTTCTGTTGACTTGGATGTAATGGACTTAGGGTTCTGAGATACCTGCTGCAGCCCCTGGCGCTGAGCCTTGTGGCTTTGGGGCTGGGCACAGTGTTGAAACAAGCACAATGTTAGAGTCATGGAGGTAGGAAGGAGCAGAAGCCACGGAAGGAGCTCTGCTGGCCAGAAATGATTTTGAAAACGAGCAGGGCTTGATTCCAACTTGGCAAACTCAGGTGAGGAATGTGTGTGGTCTGCTCTGACTGCTCCATTGCCCTGCCTGCCGCTTCACTCTCAGGTCCTTTCCTACAGCTGCTTGCAGGTGAATGGTGACAAGTCACCTCGACTGGGTCCTGCTGAAGGTCAGTCCAGAAGGGCACCTCCCCTACATCCGCCCACTTCCAGCAGCTATCATCTCCATCCCCTGAGTCCCATTTCTTTTCTGTCATAGCGGCGGACACTTTCCAGGCTGGATCTCTATGGCTTTTGCATCCATCGCATCCCACTGTGGCCTGCCTGGGGTCTGTGCTTGCTGAGAGAATACCCCGCCTAGTCTTACATACTGGCTTGGGGTAGACCTGGCCCAAGCTCCTGGACCCCAGACTTCCTAGGTTCCCCGAGCCAGTGGGGTAGTAGTGACTCTTCCACAACAAGCCAGGGTTAGATCCTGGTTGCCCAAAATAGCCCCAGCAGCGTCTGAGGCCGGCACTCCTTCAGGAAGTAAGATAATGGGCACAGGCATAGCGTGCTGCCTCTGTGATCTCAAGCCTGGTCCTGCATTGCTGTAAACATGGGACAGGGCAGTGGACAAGATGCTGGCCAGGAGTGAGGGGAGAGTTCCTTAGTTCTACTGGTGCCATGGTATACACACAGACCCCCACCCTCATGCCTCAGCCTGCACATTGGCTACCTACTCTCTGTCCCCACACAAGAGCCCTCCCTCAGTGACCTCTGTCCACCCAGTGTTGACTGGCTGGGGTTGACCTGCTCTCCTTGGTCATGGCAGTGTCCTGTGTGGTGGACACCAGCCCCCACATTTGCCAAAGCAGCCAAAGCAGCTTGGCATCTGTAAGATGCTCAAGTGGCCACCTCGCCAACAGACTGTCCCAAGCCCCTCCCATCCTTCGCAGGCCTTACCTGGCCTTGGGTCTGTAGTGCCTCGAGGCCCTCGCTCCGGAGTTGCTCCAGGGCCATAGCCAGCTGCATCCCCTCCATGTGCACCCAGGCCTGCTCCTCCTGCAGCTGTTGTAGCCACAGTTGCTCCTCCTGCAGCTGCTGCAGCCACATTTGCTCCTCCTGCCATAGCTGCATCTGGAGCTGGACCTGCCGCCTTCGGTCCTCCAGCAGCAGCTGCTCTTGGGCCAGGCACAGCTGGACATCATGGAGCCTCAGTAGTTCAGGGCCCAGGGCCAGTGCTGGGCCTGTGACTCCACAGCCCTCCATGTGCTGGGGCAGGGCCAGCACCAGCTCAGACCCTGAAGCAGTGGCCTGCACGGGCTGCTCTGTTTCTGCTGTCCTGAGGTGTTCCTGAGGAGCCAGCTGGGTGCTGGTCACGTGCCCTATCTGAGCCACCCCCACCTGGTCCCACGGGCCCCCTGTGGCAGGGGGCGGAAGGCTGGCCTCGGTGCCCTGATGCCCCACTTCCCGCTGGGCTCGGCCCGCCCTCCTGCCTCGAGGTTTGCGAGCTCTCCGTTTCCCAGACATGGCCCTAGCTCCAGCACCTCTTTCACCAGATGTCTGTTCCCCAGGGCCCGGCTCATCAACTGGCGCCTCAGTCAGGTGGTTCAGGCAGCATCCAGGAGGCCACAGTGGGCTGCCCCTCCCCACTACTCTTGCCCTCTGCTCCTCCGTCCCAGGAGCCCGCCCTGCCCTTCAGCCCCTCAGCTGCGCAGCAACGCTTGGCTCTGGCTCTGTCTGTGGGCCTTTCGGGGCCCCACTCTGCTGGCCCAGATCGCGATGGGAAGTTTATAGGGACTCGGCGGCGTGGCAGCTCAGCCAGGCCCAGAAGGCTGACTAACCTGCTGACACAGGGTGCAGGACTTTACAGGCCACAGGCCTTGCTGGCCAGACAGGGAGGGAGACAGAGAAACTGGAGGCGGCTCTCAGTCGCTAGACTGTGGTGCAGGATGGCGTGCCCAGTCCTGCCTGGGCGGCACCGAGGCCCCCCACCCCCTCCTCGGCTCCACCCCGGTCGCGGGAAATTCAAACTGTGGCCACCTGACCAGAAGCTGCATCCTGGCTACGCTGACCCTCAGGGCCCAGATGCTGGATGGCAATGAAGCCCCCAGCCTACCCTGAGCAATACCTCGGGCCCAGACCCAGACACCCCCCGGGGCCTGAGCTTGCCCTCAATGTGCCCTCCTAGAGCGCCCACACAGTGGTCTCTGGCTATACCGTGGGCTGTTGAAGACTTTGGGCCTTTGAAGGTCTAGATGGCATGTTAAGGACTGAGATGAGCAGAAAGAATCTAGCCTGTTCCTGAATGCGGGTTGGGAGCACTGGCTGACATTCTGGTTTCAACTTTCCCATTGAAACGAGGCCTCAAGAGCCCTCATCTGGCCTGCTTTTGAGTTCTCCCAGTGGGGGTGAGGGTCAACTCCAGCTTCAACACTGGGATTCCCCTTGCTTTCTCTTGGGAGGGTGAGGCTCCAACAGGCCTCCTCCCCAGCGTTTTCCCAGCCTCAGGCCTCTGACTCACACTCGCCCAGGGCCCCTCACTGGCTGGACTGGTTTGCCTGGCCCAGCCCGACCTACCGAGTGCACACCTCTCTGTCCAGAAACTTTCTGAGCAGATGGAGATCACTTGCCCTGTGAATGCTGTATTAGACAGAGCTTGGAGGGACAGGAGGACTGAAAGCCACTAGCCTGGGTGGGGTCGGGGGGGCAGGATGGGGCAAAGGGAGCCAGTATAGCCCTACCTGGGGCTGCAACATGCCAAGCCCTGGGCTCATAGGCCTGAGGTCCGAGTCCCAAGTACAGGGACAATTCTACCTGCTGGCCCTCAGGATCACCAGAAGCAGAGTAGTATTTGTTGTTGGAGGACGCTGCCAGGCTGCTCATTAAAGGCATCTCGTGCTTGCCCCATGAGGAGGCTGTGCATAGCAGCTCCCCCCTGCTGTCCCACAAATATCCTATAAATTCCTCTTGAGGTTGGGGTAGGGGTGTTTCACACCCTAACTGCCCTGACTGCAGCCTTCCTCAGGGAAGCCCAGTGGGAACCGCCAGCCACAGAGGAAGACTGGCCAGCAGGTGAGAGGTCCTGCGAATGCTGAGCATCCAGAAGCTCCTACAGGTGAGTGTGACTGTCCAGGGCTGTCCTACACCTAGGCACGCACGATGTACATGAGCAGTGCCTACCTATGCAATTGTGTGACCGCACAGGCTTGTAAGCACGTGCATGCACACACGTAGGTGTGTGCCTGGGGCACATCCTGAGTTGTGAGCTCCTCCCAGCATCTGCTGAGCTCCAGGACACTCTCAGCTTTCACTGACCCATGTATATGCGCCACCTGTTGGAGACACCCTGTCCCCGCTGTGCCTCCCAGCCTTGAGGTGGGCAGGAGCAGCCTCCTCCATCTCTTTTCTGTGTGTCGCCCTCAGGTGGCAGGAAGGAGTGCACGCTCTGCCAGGGCAATCTCTAAAGCCCTGGGACAGGTCCTGGGCATTCCTTCCCTCCTCTAGCCAGCTCTGTACTCTATTTCTTCCCAGGTACACCTTCAGCTCAAACTGCTCTTTGTGTTCCAATTCTGCAATTCGGTGGTGGCTGAGCCCCCTCCTGGGTGTCCAGATGCCCATCAGCAGATCTGAACCAAATTCATGGACAACTCCCAGGGCCCTGGCCCAACTGGCTCATTGAGTTCTTTTTCCTCTCCCCCAGGTTCAGGGTCTCACCTCAGAGTTCCTACTGGCTCACTTGGCCACAGCCCTCCCACTTGCCTTCCTAGTCCAAGTTCCTGGAGCTGCCAGAGCCATTGTGCTTCGTGTGTGTGTGTGTGTGTGTGTGTGTGTGTGTGTGTGTGTGTGTGTGTGAGAGAGAGAGAGAGAGAGAGAGAGAGAGAGAGAGAGAGGCCTTCCTCATCAGGTACCACTGTCACCTGTGCCCTCATCCTAGCTCTGGATTAAGGAGGCTGATCCTTGTCTGCAGGACAGGGTTGGCCACAGAAGGGTCTGTGAAGTACTGATGGTTGTTTTATAACGGATATATAAGCTTGGGGGACTGAGCTGGATTATGGGTAATGCACAGTGAAGCAGATCCTGTGACATTTAACAGAATGTGTGGAAAAGTTGTCCTGGTGCCAGGGATTGGCTTGGAGAAGGAGTAGGAGCACATGCCAAGCTGGCCCCAGGCTGGTGTACTCAGGGTAGACCAGCACCACTGTGTCTCTCTTTTAAGTCCTGCCTAATCCTTCTTTGACCCTGTGAAACATCCAGTGGTGGGTCAGGGCAGAGAGACTTGGGGTCTGGGCACAGAGATTTGAATGTCCCCATTCTTCTCTGTCTTGGGAAGTGGGCCTCACAAAGTGGTATCCCCAGCCTTCACAAAAACCAGGTACTTGTTGAGACCTGGGGTAGAAAGCCACTGTTGGTCCTGGCCCTGCTGGCCATCTCTTGTGGCTGCAAGATGGGTCCCAGTTTAGGAGCAAGGCTTCTGAGACAGCAGGTGCAGCTGGCAGGAAGGGACCTATAAGCCTGGAGAATGTCCGTTTCTGCTGGAGTATGGTGGCCTCTTGACATGAAAATGCCAGGTGGAACTGCTGTGTCTAGGAGCAGTTTCGGGACCAGGTGCAGGGAGCACTCAGTCCTACTGACTCAGCCTTCTTTGCAGAAGGGTAGCTGGGAGTCCGTCATCACACAGACTGTTATCGCCTGCTGGGCTCTTCCAGGAAGCCATGGGGAGGATGCTTTTTCTGCCTCTCTGTTACTGCCTGCAAACCTATTCTTTCCAACTTTCTGATTATCTGCTGAGCCACTAGCCAGACCTGATGACTTGATTAATGTTGGTTCAACAGGGACAGTGTCTAGTTTAGATGGGTCTCAAAAGGAGGATATTGGCTGTCTCACTTCTCTCTCATTGCTGGAACAAAATACCTGACACTCAAAATTAAAAAAGGAGAGCTCACAGTTTGTACAGGTTTCAGTCCATGCTCAGCTGGCTCCAAGGCAGAGTATCACATGGCAGAGGGCAGCAGTTCACAATGGTGGAAAACAGCAAAACAGCAAGAGCAAAAAGGCAGGAGGAGCAGCAGAGAGCAAGCCTCTCTCCCTCACACAGTAGTCCCTTGCTATTTCGTGGTTTGGCTTTTGCAGACTCCCTGTTTTGCAGGTTTTCAAAAATATTAATCTAAATTATTTATCTCGGATGTTTTGCTATATTGTGGGACTTTGCAGTATCACACAGTATATGTATGTTGTTAAAATTACAAAGATTTACAAGCTTAGAAAATGGTTAAGAACATTAGAAGTGTTTTTAAAAGTGTGGGAAAGGCTTATAAGAGTGTGGGAAGGGTTTATAAAGCCTTAATATATATATAAATACTAATACATAACTACTTTGCTGATTTTCACTTATTGTGGGGTTATCTAGAAAGTAACCTCCAAGATAAGTGAGGGACCACTACTGCATCCATTCTGTCTGCCGCAGGTGGGTGTGGCACTCACACCCATAATCCCAGCAGCACTCACACCCATAATCCCAGCATTGGATCTTGAATTAATCACAAACTCTAGAAATTCACCCCACAACTGCATGAGGCTTTGGGAGGACAACTAGACACAAACCATAACACTGGCTAACATCAAAGGATAGTTATGATGCTCACTGTTTGTCATGTAACCCTCTCTGGGTGGCCCTCCCATAAAAACCACCCCACACTTTTCCCCAGGCCCCAAGTCACTGCACAGTGCTCAGCAGTGCCCACCCAAGCCAACCTTCTTGCCAACAGGAGTGTTCACCCAGGGTGCCCCTCACTGTGGCCCCTGGGGCCTCCTGGCACAGGGGCTCTAGTTGGTTACAGTCAAGTTGAAGTTAGTGTCAACATGTTGAGTGACTGGAGGCCAAACCCATCCATTTCCTCCGCCACCCACTTCCCCCAGAGGTGTCGGTGTCAGAGGGAGAAAGTGGCCCCCCACTGGGCCATGTGTTTTGCTCAGGCCTTCACGTGCCCCCTCGTGTGCTTTCCCTTCTCTGTCCTGTGTCCTGCTTCTGGGACTGATGCCAGGAGTCCCTGGAGCCACAAGCCACTTCTCAGGTGACCCACAGCCCTTCAGAAGCCTTCTCTTTCTGCCAGGGACCACAGGCCTTGCTCTGGAACTCCTAAGACCTTCCTTGCCCATAGGCGTCCTTCTCCCCTTTATGTGAAGCCCCAGCAGCCCCACGGGCCTCAGCAACACCTCAGTGGCCCTGGAAAGCCGCCAGGCCTCTCAGTGAGCGGGCCAGAGCAGCACCTCAGGAGTGGGGTGGGAGTGGGGCTAGCACGCACCTCTCACACTGCCTTCCTGCAGGACAGAGGCTCCAGGTGCAGTGCTTTCTGTCCCATTGCAGGACGCTGGCGTGGCCTCAGCCCAATGGCGTCCTAAAGTCCCTGACCCACCTAGCACATGGATGATGAAGCTTCCTTGCCTGTCTCCTTGCGCTGCTGGAGTAGCTGCCACAAACCTCGGGCCTTAGGACAGCATCCACATGTGAGGGATCAGTCCTGTGACTTAGTAGCCTCACAAATGAAGCGGTGGCAGAGGCGTACTCCTCCTTAAAGGGCTGCTCTACTCTCCTGCTCTTTTAACTTCTAGCCCCACGTGCCTGGCTTGAGGCACCATTTTTTTTTTTTTTTATTTTTTAGACAGTCTTGCTGTAGTTCAGGTTGGCCTTGAACTCACTTTGTAGCCCAGGCTGGCCTCAAACTCAGTGATCCTCCTGCCTCAGCCTCCCGAGTTCTGGGATTACAGGTGTGCACCACCATGCCTGTTGCAAGGCCGCTTCCTTCATCTTCAGTCAGTAACTGGACTTTTTAATTTTTGGTGCTGGGAATCAAACTGAGGGCCGCACCCTTGCCAGGCGGGCGCTGTGCTGCTGAGCTATACCCCCAACCCATGGGGGCCTGGCCCTAGCTCAGTCCTTTAAGTGGCTGCTTCCACAATGCTGGCAGCCTCGGGTTGCTGTAGTTCAATCCCCACAACACTCCCGCCAGCCAAAAGTGCCCTGAAGGCATTCGAGGAGGGAAAAAAAAAATCCTTATATCCCCAACCCAGCTGTACCTTTCCGAATCCTCTATTCTGCCTCCCTCTTCCCCTTTTCCGCTTAAGGATGATATTGGATCCACCTGGATAATGCAGGACCATCTCCCTGTCTTTTTTATTTTTTTAAATACCACCAACTTGAAACACATTTTTTTTTTCTTTTTCAACAGTGGTGGGCTGCACAATACTTTGAATCCTTGAGAACTCTTGAGCCTCTAACTACACTAAAAATAGTGTCCAAACATTTGAAACATAACAAAGCCATTCTCTCTACTGGCTTCCAGTAACAAATTCCACAGGATCAAAATTCCTGATATAGTTGCAACTGGGTTTTTTTTTTGCCCACTACATTGTAAGCTACTTGTATCCAAGAACCAGGTCTTGTCATTATTTTATCTGTACCCCTCCAAATTCTCCCTCCACCTACACAGTGTCTAATAATGAGACAAAGCAATCTAAAGTTCTTGCCACACAGAAGGTAGATAACAATATTTTATTTTTCATTTTTTGACGGAACCGGAGATTGAACTCAGGCCCTTGCGCTTGCCAGGCAAATGCTTATTCTACTGAGCCATCTCCCCGGCCCCAACAATATTTTAAATCAACTGTATATTTAGAATTTGGTTGTGTATGCCTGTAACCCCAGCACTCTGAGAGACCAGAGCAGGAAGATCCCAAATTCAAGGCTAGCCTGTGCAACTTGGTGACTTAATGGCACCCTGTCTCAAAATAGAGCTAGATAGAGCTAGAGCTAGCTTCCCGTTGGCGCTAGCGAAGAGGCTTGTCTTAGTTACTCTTCTCTCCTTGCTGGGACAAATACCCAACATGCAAAATGAAGGAAAGAAAGGCTTATTTAGCTCACGGTGGAGGTTTTAATCCATACTCGGCAGGCTCCAAGTCAGAGTGGTACATAGCAGAGAGCAGCCTTTCGTGGCTGCAGCAAAAAGCAGAGAGCAAAGGGAGGCAGCAGCGCAGGCAGCTGGCTAGCCTCTCTCCTCCTTCCATTGAGTGCAAATTACCTGGCCCAGGGCAAGTACAGCATCCGTACCCACAATTACC